ATTTTTTATTCAATTCAAAGTTTGAAATCAAGCTATCTCGTGCTACTGCACCAAAATTACCCCACTGTAAAATTAAAAAAACACTGAGTGAGCAAAAATTTGTGAGATAGCTAGTTATAATGGTAATTAAATAATGTTTACATATGTATAAAAGCCTACATTAAAATCTGTCATATAAATTGGTCTCTTCATTAGAAATTAGCTTACTGATTGCAACCATTGAGGGACAAAAATGTTTAATAATATAAAAAATATCTGTATGACATTATATTCTGCAGTTCTTCCCTGTTGTACTGAATATCTATACTTTTCAAATGATCACATTGAAGTTAGAAATTCAAATATTGTGACAAAATTAATTTTGTAGGGTGCCACAAGTTTGTTAAAATTTCCAAAGGGTGCCGCGACTAAAAAAAGGTTGGGAAACACTGCTTTAGATGATTAAAATGTTCTTCACACTAGGACAATTGTCCTTTTAAGAACGTGAAAGGTTCTTTAGAGAACCAAAAATGGTTCTTCTGTGACATCACTGCGAAAAACCCTTTTGGAACCTTAATTTTTAAGAGTGTATGAGTTTTAAAAAAAAAACTAAGTTGTTTTGCCAAAAGACTCTAGAATGCTTCATTGTAATTACTTGAGTCAGATTTTCGTCCTTTTTATTGTCTGCCAGGTAAAATACAAATATGGATAATATTAAGCATTAGTGTGTTTATTCAAATCCCTAATTAAAGCCTTTTTTATGTATTTATTTATGGTAAGGATCAGCATGTCACAGGAGCTGTGAATAGGATACATAACATAGAACATTCCTTGAACAAAAAATAGACTGATTACATAGCCTTGACTAACTTCGTAATGCAGTTTTTTTATTATTATTTATATATGTTTCAAAATGTATTTGCACGCTGACGTCACAGTTTACAAATCGTGACGCGTTTTGGTAGCTGCGCGTTTCCGCCGCTTCCAGCCCCCCCCCCCCCCCCCCAAGATAATTCACAAAAGACTCGCCGCCGTGCCGAGCGCTCTGATTGGCTGAGCCACAGGAAGCGGCGTAGGGCTCGCTGATTGGCTGCCGTTCTCTTTGTGTGCGTGCAGCTGGCGTCTAGGCTGCATTTCGAATGGTCTCGTATCGGAAGGCGAAGGTGTCCATGGGCAGCACAGCAACAAAGGAGCCAGGATGGTGTTAGTGCACGTCGGATATCTGGTTCTTCCCGTCTTCGGTTCGGTCAGAAGTAGAGGTAATTGCGCCTTATTTACTGTCGCAGGCGCTCGCGTCTTTTTTCACGCGCGGATGTGATCAAAGGCTGCTGGCCTGGCGGAGCGTCGCGTATTTTCCAACACAAACACGGAGCGATGCGCTCAGTGGCCTAACGTTAAAGAAAAGATCCATCATATTGCTATACCAGAGAGCGAGTGTGTTTTAATTCACTGGATAAATCGTTATCGGGTCACAATTTGGAAAACGCGTAGCACGTTCCTTAGCGTCGTCCTTCGCGTCGGAAGCATATGTAGGCTTTAATAGAAATACCTCAGCGCGTATTCAAGTATGTGTCTCCTCAGTGGGGCGCGTCAAACTAAAACGCAATTGTTACAAGCTTTCAGCGCGATGCGACGAACGCGAAGCTTCGTGTTATAAAGCAACAAAGTCGCACGTTTGCAGCGGCGTTGTAGCTCTTTGCAGTGTATGTAACGCGTTACGATCCGTTACATTCCCTCACATCCGTTCCGCCGTGTGCGGTTTTGTTTATGAATAATTAAACATGGCTTCAGCAGATGGGCAGCTGCAGTGCCACGAAATATCCTCAGCTGAACCTGCTCGCAATTTCAGCTTTTGCAACACGGACGCATGGAAAATTGGGATCGTTTTAATGTCTAATCATCGATCGCAGCATGAAGTGTTTAATTCTGCTGTAATGGAGAACAAAAAAACCTGGATCTTAAATCCCACCTTAGCCAGCCATGTCTGGACAGGAAAAAATGTGCATCCATGTACAGTATCTGTGCACGTCAATAATAGCAGAAATGCACCATTTTTAGCCGTTCTGCACCGGTATTCATGTTTTGCATTTTATAGCCATGCTTAACCAGATGCATTCATATATGTAAAATGTGCAGTTAAATAATTATAGTGGTTTGTTATGCATTTAGTTGACGCCAACAAAAAATCAGATGCATCCTTACATGTAAAAATAATGCAATGAGGTGCATTTTTGCAGCCATGTTGCACCAGAATCTGTATATAAAATGTGCAAATAAACAATCGTGGTATGTGCATTTTACTGTCACCAGCAGAAAAAACAAATGCATTAATATTTGTGCAATAAATAATAATAGTAAAATGAGGTGCATTTTGTAGCTCTACTACACCAGCATGAGTTTAAAATGTGTGCAATTCAATAATTTAATAGTATACACATTTTACTGTCACCCTTTAGCACCAGCAGAAAAACAAGTGCATCAATGTCAAATATGTACATAAAATGTGTGCAATTAATTAGTTGTATATGCATTTTGCTGTTGCACATTAGCACCAGCATATAAACAAATGCATCAATACGAAAAATGTGTATAAAATGTGTGCAATTAAATATAGTAGTGTAACCAGCAGAAGATTGTGTGTGCAACAATAATAAGAATTATAGTAATTTGAGGTGCATTTTGTAGCCATACTGCACCAGGATCTGTATTAAAATCTATACTATTAAATATGTTAGTGTATGATTTTTACTGTCACCAGCAGAAAAACAAATGCATTGATGTATGTGGGCAATTGTGCAATAATAATAGTAATAATTTGAGGTGCATTTTGTAGCCATGCTCTAGCACCGATGGTTTCATTGATTGTGCTTGTATTTGTTTCTATTTTTTTCCTTGTTCCATAGTCTGGGGGCTGATTCTACATACCGCATTTTTTTCAGAGCTCTGTTCCCTTCCATTGTGTATCTAACGATCACCCGCCGCTGCTGTGCTATAGCCTCTGCCTGCCCTGCATCTAGCTGTGTTGTGACTCCCTCTTCTCATTCCCTCTCTTTCCATCTGAAGACGACATTACAAACAAACTCTCACTCATCCAGTATATCCTCCTGTGTAACCGACTGCAGAATAACACTCTCTCTTCTCTAGAAGAATCCTCTTGTCGTCTTATTTTTAAATGGTCATTGTTGCTTTGACGAAAATAACAACTCATTGTAGCATTTAGCTTTTTTACGACTGTCATTGTGATTTGTCCCATACTCAGTGTGGATAGACCAACATTTTTGCTGTAAATTTCTGTCAAGTGGATGCATTGGCCTCTCACTCGATCATAGCCGGGCTTGATCGACCCCTAAACACTGTCTCTGTCTTGTCTTCCGGGAAGGTGTGCTGTGCCGGTGGGATTTGCCACAGATTTGGACTCAGAAACTTACTAGAGAAGCTTGACGTTCATTTTTTTTCTTTTCTAATTATGCATGTACAGTTGTGATCGATAATATCTCAGTTCGGTGACCCTTCGCTCTGTGGGTTTCGCCTCCCTAGGGTGACCATTAATGATTTAATCAAATTAAATCTGTAGCGTCTTCCTTAAAGGAATAGTTTGCAGAAAAATAAATTGTCAATATTTGCTCACCTTTATGTCGTTCGACACCCATATGCTGTTATTTGTTTTGGTTAAAAAAATAAGAAGTTTGGAAGATATTGACAGGGCTCAAGAACGGAAAAAACACCAGTTTTAACTACTGTTATTTTAATATAATTTAAATACTTTCATAATTTTTGTAATATTTTGAATTAGCTTTTTTTATATATATATATATATATATATAAAAAATTTTTGTTGCTATTTGGATTTAATTTGAGTTTTTATATGCTTCCAGTTAAAGCATTTTGTCAAACTAAACAAAAATTAGAAGTGTTGCCAATTAACTGAAATAAATGGAAGTTTTTCATCTAATATTATTATTATTATTCTATATGATTGAGCTTTCTTAACTAACGAAAATGGTTTTAATAGTTTTAGTGAACGCTAATAACCCTGGATTAAATGGCTCGTACACTATATTTCAAGTCTTCTGACGTCTTACAAGTGAAATTTAAGTTATTATTCACTAATTATCTTTTCCGCAGAAACTCTGAAATCTCATTTGTGTTCAGTGGTTTTGAAGGCCAAAAATGCAAGTGGTTCTTGTATGGAACTGAGTGCAAGTTGTTCACACAAACTTGGAGTTTTTGGTCACTATAAGATGGCTGTTTAAGGAAAACAGCTGTAGCAAAGATATGAAAAGGTTTTTGACTGCATATGGGTATAGAATGACATGAAAGTGAGTGACTTTATATATAAAGTCAAGTATATAATTTGTTTTTTGTACACCCATTGTGGTGTACAAAACAACATTTTGGTGTGTATATATATATATATATATATATATTGAGCCTTATTAATCCTCAAAGATTAACACATGGAAACCATAGAAAAGCTACTATTTCAAGACTGTTATGGTTGACACAAAGCACGTTTTAGAAGAGCATACTTCTCACGTGTGAAATATTTTGCTATTATATGTGACCATGTTAAAGGAATAGTTCACCCAAAAATGAAAATTTGTTGAAAATGTCCTCACCCTCAGGACATCCCATAGAAGAGTTTGCTGCTTCATCAGGTTTGGAGAAATGTGGCATTGCATCACTTGCTCCGCAATGAATCCTCTGCAGTGAATGGGTGCCGTCAGAATGAGTCCAAACAGCTGCTAAAAACCATCACAATAAGTAATCGACACCGCTCCAGTCCGTTGATTATCCTTTTGTGAAGCGAAAAGCTGCATGTTTGTAAGAAACAAATCCATTATTAAAGCATTTTATCTTTAAACAAGTCTTTTATCCATAATATGACTTTCTCCAGTGAAGAAGTTGTCTGAATCAGGAGAGCAATATGCACAGATTAAGCACCGTTTACAAGCCAAAACAGATCTGTGAGCGCATTTTAATGTAAGAAGAACTTTTTAAAACAAATGTCTTGCTGGTTTTTGTTTCTTACAAATATGGAGCTTTTGGCTTCATAAGATGTTAATTGATGAACTGGAGTGGTGTGGATTATTGTGATGATTTTATTGTTCATCAGCTGTTTGGACACTCATTCTGACGGCACCCATTCACTGCAGAGGATCCGTTGGTGAGCAAGTAATGTAATGCTACATTTCTCCAAATCTGGAGTGAGGGTGAGAAAATTGTAAGCGAATGTTAATTTTTGGGTGAACTATTTCTTTAAAGATGATCTAAATGGTGTATTTTGTTTAAGAAAAACAGCCGTCTTCAGCTTGGAAGTAGTAAAATGACTCTGAAGAAGCAGAAACGAGTATCAAAGCGGTAGTTTATGGCTCTTGACTGGCACACTGCACCCGACCGCCACTCAAACCGACCCTCATTCATTTGATTTACCCATGCTGCAAAGCCAGCATTAGCCTAGCGCTACCGGGCGGCGCTCCTAGCGCTGTGCGAGCGCGAATGTCATCCACTTTACAGGGATCACTAGAACTGCACTGTAGAAGTCCTCCTAGTATCGAAATGTCTCTATTTCTTTGGTTGTGGTTCTCTGCCTTCTGTTCCTGTACTAGGCTGTAATGCATGACCATGTTTATTATTTTCCTCTTGATTTTGATTGTTTCTTTGTTTTGGAACATTGAACAGCAAACTCCAATGTATCTTTGTGTAGACATGTCCTGCTGTACTGACGTGTTGTAGCATACACATCTACCCATTGGATGCTGCTTCTGTTATGTTAACTTTGTGGAGCATGGTTGGGCCTTGCCTTCGCTCTTTATTTGCATGGAATTATTATTATTATTATGATCACACAATTCCACTCATACTAATATTTTCCAATAAAGACTGTAGATTTTCCCCTAACCCTCAGTGTGCTCTCTGCTGATTTCCATGTGTCGTTCCCTCAAACCCCTCCAACTCCACTCTATGGTTCCTCTTTGGCCCCTGCCTCGAGTCATCTCTGCTCCTCCCACTTGCCAGAGTGAATCATGGGAATGTGCACTCACAAATATGTAGGCAAAGTAGTCACTTCAAGTCTCACACATCCCATCTGCATCTCACTATCTGACCTCCTGCATTAGCATATCTCCCCTTCGTTCTCATTGTTTCTTCTGGAGAAACGGGTTTCCAGTAAAAATCGATACGTGAAGTCAGAAATTATTGAATTTACATGCTTAATGTGCATACTTCTGTTGGACTTGAGAATCCATCGTCTCTCCAA